AAGTAGCTTAGTGACACGCCGTTCTAAATAGATTTTAACATTTCTCGGCTGAATTGAAAAGTATTTCTGACATTTATTACTTCTGCAACCGCAGCTAAACCTCTACCTTCGTCAAACTTCTGCATATTGATCTCTGACTGCACGGTCAGGTCTCTTTCCTTTAAAGCCTGAAAAGTCCATAAAAATCTTTCTTTATTTACCTGTAGCCGTGAAGAACTAATGTCTAAAGAGAGAAAATATTTTTAAATTGTAAGGCAAGCTATTAAATCGTGTTCTAGAGTAAATAATGACTCCATAATATGACAAGGTTGTTTCTTACCCTCAAACTTTCCGCCATGTCTTATTTCCGCTGTCCATATAGGCTGGTCACCACTGGCTCAGTTATGACTTGGCATAAAATGGCAGACGAACCACACAAAACTGCGAACGTACCGGCAAACATAAAATTATTCGTGTTTGATCTGGCAGGTATAAGTGTAGATGACTCGACTAAGGGTGTACCACTTGTGGCTATCGCCATGAAAGAAGCATTTCACAAAAATGGCCACAGCATCGACGTAAGTTTAATCAATAAATACCGTGGAATGGAGAAGAGAGACGCAATTCAGAGTATCTTAAACGAGGTACACGAGTCAAACGAGTCAACCAACACGAGAAAACGAAATCCCAGGAACAACTGAGGTTTTTCAGAAGTTGAAATCCACAGGAGCGAAGATTGCTGTTGGCAGCGGCTTCCCGCACAATGTCGTTGAAACCATCACAGATACCTTGAACTGGTCTAGCCCGGTCGATTTTGTCTTTAGCGCAGAGAAAGCGGGTCATGGAAGGCCTCATCCAGCAATGATCCACTCGGCTATAAATTTTTTTGGCATAATGGATCCACGATCAGTAGTCAAAGTTGGGGACACTAAGGTCGACTTTGAAGAACGGAAGAACGCTGGTTGTTGGACGATCGCAGTGTTAACTCGAACTCAGAGCAGGGAGTTTACTGCAGAGAGTAAACCGGATTTTGTCATCAATAGCATTGCTGATTTACCTGATCTATTGTCAGGGACATTCCATTTATGATCTCGAACAACTTTGTTCAACAATTTTGTAGCGTTTACGGCGACCAAAGTCTAAATTCTCAAGTTCAAGGACGTGTCGCTCCAAAACGCGATTAACGAGGTGTTTGAGACTATTTTACTGATCGAAATGACAACCCAAAGTTGACTGTTTTCACGAATCTTTATTCTTGAAAGGCGATCGACCACGAACCACAATCAATGACGAAAATAAAGATTATTCTCACAGTCAATCAATCTATCGAACGATCGATCCTAAACTGAAACAACAATACAACGAAGTTCTATCAATCTATCGAAAAGCCGCTGAATACATGATCAAAGAATCGCACGTTAAATACCGGGCTCTAAAGTCTATAACGAGATTAACAATACAAGTGAAACAGAAAAAAAGTTTGGAAACAAATTAAAAGAGTTTTGATGACTGATAAACAGCCCATTGTTCTATCTAAATGATGGGTGTTCACTGACTCGCAAATTGGCACGAATTTGGCCTTTAAATCTTAAATCTATACAGATCATTGCAATATTTGTTTGTATATTGTCGCCCAAAACTGAAAAGACTGGAAAGGAAAAAACAAAATTACAAAGGTACTCACATATCGGTCCGCTTGTGCCAGAGGTTGAGAAAACGAAAGGGCGAAAGTTTACCAAGGCTATTCAAAACTTACGACGAACTGATTAAAGGGACGCTAAATTTGCCTTTTATATGCGCGTGGTGACGCTGAAAGGTCCGATTACAAAGCCAATAGAAATACAGAAAAACAGATAAGCATTGTAACTATGTGGCTATCTAAGATCATTCTGAACTTAGTGAACTAATCAATAATCAAGCAAAAATTAGCCTTCTGGCTAATGTCCTTAACAAATTTGAATCGCCGTGTATTTGAAATTCGGACTAAAAACGAAACGATGCCTCTCGTATTATGTTGTAGTTTGTTACAGTGATCAAGCCAAAGTTTCGCCTAGTTAGGAAAGCTGTTTCCCACGAAGAGCTTTTTTAAGCTGATTTCTATCATTTTACAATGACAACACATACAAACGTAACAAATGGGGAAGCTAAGCCCTGATTCACTTATAATTCTGTAGAGATACGACTCTTGACTCATTCTCATGCAATCTTGAGTAAGCTTCCAATTAGTCAACATTAATCGCTGAGGGTTTGCTTAATCCTAACCCTTACGCTAAAACATTGGTGGCCATTGATGTTTGATGGAAAGCTGCCACTAACATCCAGCCTTTTAAGACAGAGAATTTTAGCAATGTTTTCAAGTACGTGTGTAGGCTAAATAATAATAATAATAATATATAAAAAAAGACATTGCACGTTCACTGCTTGCGCAAAAAATGTAGTGCACGGACTTTTCCTTTAATACTACAATATACCGCCTTCTAGACATTAAATAGCGCTACACCGTCGGGATATTAATTAGTTGAGCTCGGCTAAGCTAAACAGCAGGCACCAGGTATCTGAGCTATGATATAGTGCCTCTATATCATAGCTACTTAATTCTTGAGTTCATTTTTTTAGGTGCCACTGCTGGAGAAGATGCCACTGCTACTTCAAACCACTAAATGGGTAAATAGTGAAAGGGTTGATGGTTTACATATCCCATTGACCTTTGTTACTCGGCATACTTGCAATACTTAATTCGATAAAGCGAATACAAACAAACCTACATGAATCGCTGATGATGAACACGTGAAAAAAGAAGGTCCAATATAACAAGTAGGGAGAACTGAGACAAAAATAACACGAAAACATCGAGACAAAAATAACACGAAAACATCGAGACAAAAATAACACGAAAACATCGAGACAAAAATAACACGAAACATCGATTGGATTTTTTATGGCGTACACACTCTACCCTCGCAAGAAAATTTTTCTAGGGATACCAACTGCTTGAAGGTTAGTCCCCACAGTAGAGCTTACCTTAAGATAATTCAAATACAAACGCTTCATGCAATCACCAAAACATCTAAAAATTGGAAACCTCTATGTGAGCTGACCCCGAGAAAACCCTTGGACAATCATGAGATTCAAACTATATAAATAAATGAAACATCAAGAAACTATCATGTACCAATCCTAAGACAACAAAATATCTCGCAAAAGTAGGTCCAACGAAAATAATTGAAAAATACCAACTTAGGTTTGCCAAAAAAACTACTTAAATATTTCTATAAATTTAGGCAAACGGAGAGGAAAGTCGAGATCTTGCTGTTTAAATCGATCAGCTGTTTGGATAAACAGGGTCTTAGATCTTTCCATCAATAGCCCAATGGAGGTAGGAAAACCGATGAGACCACTCTCCAGTAGAGCTAAGAGCACTGTATTTCAGTCGACCACATTTTCCCATCACTTATCGTGAACGTGAGGATCTTGTAATGATCTAGCTTACTAGATTTTGGGTCTCCAAAATACTTTCCAATAATCAGTAAAAGGAGTGAAACCTGTTAGTTCTGCCATGTAGAAAAAAAGAAAAGAGACAATGATATACCACGTTGGAACAACAATCACTGGGGATGAAGACGACTGAGACGGACTACGAAAAAAGAAGATTAAAGAAATTTCAAGGCTCCCCGATCGTGATATATTTAGCTGCTAAAGGATCTTTATATAACGTCAGACATACCAGTCACTTACGGCTTCCTGTTCTCATTCTCGACGAATTTTAAGATAATTTTTCCTCTGGTAGATCATTCTGATGTATTGACCAATCTTTCAACAACGGTAAGCTGTGGAACTGGCATTTTGCTGAGAATACTCAAAGCTGACATTTCCTCAAAATCTATTTCTGAACTTACTGTACCTGTTGCCTGTTGCGATTCCTTGGTGTGCGCAGCTAGCGCGAGAGCAGTTAAAATAACCGCGCTTCTAGCGGGAGACCGCGAGTTGTCGAACTAACTCGGGATGTACCGAAATAGGTTAATCCTTGGGCATCCCTCAAATTGGCCAACATAGACACAAAAGAAAACAACAGAAAATTGAGGTTAAACAAAAAGACAAAAGTGTTAAATAGAAAGGAAAGAAAATACTTAATTATAAAAGGTCACCATATTGATAGGATAAATTAAAAAAAAAAATTAAGAACCTTTATTTAGCAACCAAGGTAAAATTCCGTGATTCGATAAAAAGATCAGATAACGAAAGTACGTCACTTAAAGATTAAACTAGATGAAACCACGTAAAGGAAACACTTGGAAAAAAGTATTTGAACTGCATTCCAGGATATTGTAGCCGAAAGGGGAACTGGACTGGCACCTCAGTTCTACAGTAACAAAATGGCGTGCCGAAGGCTAAATCAGTATAAAGTATCTTTTCCATTAAAAGAATTGTGAAAGGAATAATAGATTCTTGTCAATTAGTCCAAAGCAGCTCGTAACCATCCCGCCAAAGATTTTTGGAAGAGTTTTGTTAATCGGTGATTAGATTTTATGGCTTCTATTGATGTCAGTGATATTTATACCATTTGATATTAGTTTCCGATAATTTATCCGGACCTCCACCGCGTCAAAGTGCATCATGAACACAACCTGCCGTTTTCAAACTATGTAATAAGAAATTCATGGGTTTTTTTGCGAAGAAAAATGTTTCCTCAAGCCCCAGGTCATTATGAAAACAAAGAGGTAAAACGTTTCCATAAAATATTCAACTTCTTACCTTTCCCACTACTTTTAATCACTTCTTGCCTGCAGTGCCTTCTCGCTGGGTAAATACTACTTACAATAATAGCTTCGAATTAAGAATTCATTCTTTAGGTTTGACAACTAGACCAGGAAATGTCTTTTGTTGACCTTTGCGTGAGCGGTCATTTTGAAGCGCATCAAATGTAATGTGATGCAACTATTACGAGAGAATGTAAATCATGTCACGGTTGAATTGCGAAGTCACACGAACTGATATTAGTTTCTGAAAACCGCTGAGACACATTAGTTACCATGAATGTTAGCCACAAAGAACACATGGATTAATTTTTGTGATGAAGACGGCAAAGAAGATAGATCACCAGTGCTTTACCTAGAGTCTTTACCGTCGTGACATTAACTGCATATAATTATTTAGTCGCGCTCTAGCGGACACCTATGCACATGACCTTTCGCCGCTTGTTGATACAAACCACCGCAGAAGCCTTACGTTGTTACGCTATTTTGTCCTCAACCTGTAATAACGGTAAATTCTTTTCGATCATCCATCAATCTTCGATCGACTTGGAACAATCGGTCGATTACTAGCAGCTGGTAAGTGTACTCTCTGTTAGAGAACATTATTATTCTTCGACAACGATAGTTAATTGAGTCAAGCAAGAGGCACTTTGTTTTTTTGTTTACTCGCTTCTTTAAAGAACTCTGTTCTAGCTTAGAATAGGACGGTATTTGTCGTTTATAACTGTAATACAAATTCTTCGCCGTTTTCTAAGTTTGAATCAACGAAGGTAACGGAGAAAACACGGTTATTCGAAGGGAACAACACCGAACATTTAGAAGTCCTAGAACATTTCCTTGTAAAGAATTCTATCCGTCTGGATTAAGATTTGTTAACACTACGTTGGCTTGTAACAATACTTGGATTGCTATGTTAATCGAGATATATTTTTTTAAGGTTTTGGTCGATTTGAGGCGCGGCCTCTACCAGCAATCTTACTTCAGCGAGCTAAAGTACAGACGATGATTACAGTATGCATAATTCATAATTGAAACAAAGAAAATGAGAGTGACATTCATGAAAACAAAATTAAATATGTAAATTATACATATTAACAGTAGGGGGCCACATGATGGCTTTCGCTTAAAGAGAACAAAAATTGACTAAGAGAAATAGATAAACGCATTAATCCCTGAATTACCTTTGTCAAAGCCACATCTCAATGCTTGTTCGTCTTACCACCCGTCAGTCACAAATAACCAAGAGTTCATCAAATGACTATCAAGTTGTCATCGCTGATCTATGAATAACCAGTCTTTCGTATTTAAAACTGAAATTCTTTTTCTTAATACCAGCAGTGGGTGAATGACTCGCAGCTTTAGCATTTGCCGTCATCATTAGTAAACTTTTCCCTTTTAAATCAGGAAGACAATATGAAAGTAAAGTGAAACGTTTTTCAGTCTTATTACAGAGCATGGTTGAATCAGTACCATCCAGAAGTGTATATATTTTCACACTTTTTTTCTTAGTGAAACTGATAGTTTAGGACATCGGAGGACGTTTCTGTAACTGTGAGTTCGAGGTTATGCGTGATGATTTAATTAGGCAGAACGAGTTCACAAGCCAGATTTTAGACTGGTGCTAACCAGGACTTTCTTTTTTTCGCTCGAGAAATCCTGCTTCAGTTTGATCTTGAGGTCAGACAACATACAATTCAGATTTTCGAGAAAGACCTGTGACACGAAAGAGACTATATAAAACGGCTGTCGCTGATAAGCATCGTTTTTTTCCGCCATCGTGACGCATGCTCTTCGACGTTTTCAGGACTGACTTATGTACCCTGAAGACAGGGTATCACAGTCGTGTCTCGTACACCGATCATTTTTTGTCATCGTTGCCAAGGTGGAACACCTACGCCAAGTTAACAACAATGCGGAAACAATTAGAAAATGAATCGGGCAACTGAAAGGCGACTTTCCGAGTGTCTTTTTTTTTGGATTGGACAATGTTTATGCAAAGTTGGTACGTTTGCTTATGAGATTTCAACGTCACTGATCCCAGCATTATGCGAGCTGTCACAGAACCCTAGCAATTTCTGGTTTACTTACATGGTCTCCCTTGCTCGCCTTGTGGAGCATTCGACCACGAAATCAGATGTTTTGAAGGCTCGAATCCTGTTTAGGAACTTAGACGCTTTATTTCCCTACGTTCATGACACTGAAGTGTTGAAACTTTTCTTTCTTTTCTTAGCTAAAAGTTTAGTTAGCATGATCACCTGTATGGGTTCTTGTGTTGCAATCATGGGAAAGTCTAACACAGTTCTGCTTTCTTCTTAAACAAATGGGTACCTGTACGCAAAATCTCAAGGATATGGAAGGCAGCATGGTCGAGTGGTCAGCGTGTCGGAATTGCAATCCGCCGCTCCCGGGTTCGAGTCCCACACTGGCCACTACCTGGATTTGTTTCACGGTAGCCCCGAGTTTCAAATCCTCGGCCATGCTTGTAATATAGCCAACTGGTTTGCCTTCGGCCAGTTGAGATTCTTAATAGTGTTATTTTCAATTTGAATTATTTTTTTCAGTTGTTTGGTGGAAAACCTAAAAACTAGCTTCTAGCTAAGTGTTTCTCCACGTTAAAATGTTTAATATCATTATTATTGTATTATGGGCGAAGTGGTGCTGCATAAGGGAAAATCTGCAATGAACTAGCCACAGAACCTGGATAACAGGGATAGGCTAAACAGTATGGCCTCCTTTTTTCTTTTCAATACCCCATCTCGACTGCGTTATTGGCTGCTTTACCCGCTCCGATCCGTTTTATCTCTCTTGTGGGCTTCCCAAAAGTATTAGCGTACATGGATGGTATTTTGATTATCTTCCAGTAAAAAGCGCAGCACAAGGCAAATGTATCACAGAATGCGATCTATCTTCATCTTACTGCAGATTGCAGCCTTTTCATCGACTGATAAAGGTATGAGCAACTTTATTGAACCGTTATCTTATCTCTTCTCGTGTCCAAAATTGAATAATAGCAACGACTTAACGAAACAAGAATGATAACCGACTGATTTTACAGGACAAATAGGCATTCTTTTAATTACAGTCAATGCAGTTGACACTTTGACTGTATAATTCAGAAGTTTGTCAAATTTTCTTCAGGGAAGGTTACGAGCAGTTCACTTTACGTTCAACCCAGAGTACTAATAATGAATAAAAAAATGGACAAAGAAAAGATGTATTTAACTGCAGGTATGATGTCTTTACTTTGTCTATTTTGTTTTTAATTACATGTACTCTTGAGTCGACCGTAAAGCAAATTTCTACTAATGCCTAAAATCAAATGGCAAAAACTAATTAAAGAAAATGACACCATGAACAGATGTTATTTGTTACTATTATTTATTTATTTTCTTATTTTGTTTTTAATTTTCTTTTAGTGGTAACATTCCCTTTTATCGTTTTAGCTCCAGTTAGGTTGCTTAATTGAAAGAGTTGACGTCTTTTCTTATTAAGTAGCTCTCCCAGATAATTCATGCTATGTGCGACTCAATTAGGAAGAAACACCAACCGCACTTTACTAGCAAGCTGCCTTAAATCTTCCTTGACTAAAAGTCCTCGATTAGTAGTTATTTCCATTACTGACTAACATTGTTGTATTTCTTACTTTTAATCACAGTATTTTCTTTACAGTTGATTTACAAAGGAGGCCGTCAAAAGATAGAACTTGGAAGGACTGGACATCACGGCCCGGGAATGGATCTAGAAGGGTATGGTTTTACTGCTGTCGAGTAATGTTGATACCATTGCGGGTGTCTCATTAATCATGAATATTTTGATCTCTCAGCGGTCTCCTTTGTTTAGTAACCCTTTTCCTTCGTATTGCAAAGCACTGATTAGCTTCTTTTTTTTTTTTTGTATGATAGGTTTTTAGCGCGTTTTCTCTGAAAAAGCCCTTTCAGGACGAGAATAAAGTTTGTATGTATGTGTGTATGTATGTAAAAACTGTTGGATTGAGATACGTTATCGTATTATTGCTTTTGAACAGTGGGAAAAGACACAGGATACTAATTTAAACCCACGCTTCGGGATCTGCGCTGTCACTGAACAACAACCAAATGCCTGGCTTTTTAGCAGCCTTATTGCTGTACCAAATTCAGTGAAAAAGGTTGATGTTACCTTTGTATACAATACAAGGAGCTGTAAAGAACTTGGTGGAGATAAGATGATCTGTAGGGAATATTTCGACTTCTACGTGCATCAGTCCTGGAATTCAATGCTACCTGACCCTTCAAAAAACAATGCCACTTATGCAAAGATTGCTGAAATAACTACAACGATCCTTGGCTTTGACAAGGTAGCAAAAACTTTTGGAGTCGAAGTAAAAGGAAAGTACATCGTTCTGGCCTTTCATAACCATGGTTCATGTAGCTCCATCCACTCTGTCAGAGTCAGTTATTACTTCTGTCCAGAATTTACTCTTGTTGGTGGTTTAGTGTCCTTGTTAGAATCTATAGCCCCAGCAAACAACTCTAAGCCAATTCAAGGTAGTTGTGTTAAAAATGCCAACTCCGAGCAAGGTATTCCAAGTGTTGACTGCCAAAGCGATGGCTTTTGGAACATCAGTTCACTTAAAGGGAGATGTATATGTAACAAAAACATGGAGAATAGGAGAGGAGAATGCAAAGGTACGTCCCCTGACCAGTAAAGGGCCGACCATTTAACTTTTGAGGGGGGG